CTTTTGAGAGGTGTGGGCAGCATTTTTGCCCACCCAGGGTAGGTGTTATCTGTAAAAGGGCATTTCCTCTGCCTCTTTTTCACTCTTACGCTGATGGTTAAACTCCTTCTGGGACTGTAATTCTCCCTGCCAGACCTATTTACACAGAGCCATTGTAGAGGGAAATGTGGGAAAGAGAAAAGGCAGGTTATAATTGTAGCAAATAAATAATAAATAACCGAAGACATCTCTTCAACCCAGATGATGCTGCAGACTTTACTCGCAGGCTTATTACGTCAAGATTTAAGAAACACAGAAGTTAAACAGATTTGAGATTAGACATAGGAGGGCTAGATAAATAGTATCGGAACAAAACCATAAAAATTTAATCAATCTAGTTTCTGATTCAGAAGTAAAACTGGTAATGCAAGGGGAAAAGCTCAAAGTCGAGGAGTCGGTACCGAAAAAAGTTCCCCGGCTTTGACAGGAAAAGATCAGCCTCTGAAAAAGGTCCGATGGAGAAACAGAGGAAAAAGAGAGGCCGGCATTCAGGAAAAAAAAATCTATATAAATGTTTATTTTGTTCTCCTCGCCGTCGGTTTTCGCTGCCAATCGGGGAGAAAAAGGCAGCTCTCCCAGTTCTGTTTCAATGAAAAGAAGGGGGGGGAACTGTGTAGCAATTCCCAAGCGAGGGAGCGGGAGGGAAAAATATAGCAGAAGTTTTGACTCAGGTGGGGGGGTTAAAAAAAAATGAAGCCACCGCAGAGCTACTTCAAAAGCTTTGTGAAGAAGACTCCCTTTTTAAAATGCATTGCGGCAAAAGGGCATTTTTTTGAAAAGGAGGGAGGCATTAAATAAAGAGCTGTCCGGCGGTTCTTTTCCCCCCCCCCACCATCGCCCGCATCGTGGCAAAAACACGGGGAGGAACCGAACTTTTGAGCAAAAGAGAGAAATTCGTTCGTTCCTTAATTCCTATTCGGACCGCGTGCGAAGAAAAAGGGGGGGATGAAAAAATGAAAAGGGATATTTTATTTTCTCTCTTCCCCCCCCCCACAAGCCTCTCAGCCCCCATAATAAAAAGGGAAAGCACGGCGGGGGCCCCTGCAGCTTGTGAAAAATTAAACTCGACGGATTCAAACTGTCCTATTTCCACATCAAACGAGAAAACGCGCTGCGCGCTTCCCAACTTATCTTCAAACGCCCGGCACCCTAGAAAGTTTCTTGAGAAAAGGAGAAAAGAGGTGGGGGGGGGAAAGAGAGAGAGAGAAGGAAAAGCAAAGACAGGAAAAGAGGCAAAGTCTCAAAATCCCGCAAGCGCTGTGCCCGTTACTGTTGCCGCTGTCTCTCTCTTCCTCCTAATTATACCCCTGTGAGTTTATTAATCAACTTGTAAATTATTTAGAGAGCCCCGCGCCGTCTTCAGCTTAGTACAAACACACGGCATGCCGGAGACGGGCTGGAAAAAACCAGCAGAGCTTCCCCTAAGGAGATCTCGCTCGCTCTCCTTTTCTCTCTTCTTCTCCTGCAATGTTCAGGCAGCTTGCAGCTTTCTTTAAAAATAATAATAATAATAATAATAAAATAAGAAGTTGATCTCCTTTTCCAAAAGAAAATAGCATCCAGAGAGAGATAGAAGGACGCTCTGTTGTCAAACCTTTAACTGGTCCTTTTCAGAAATGAGAAAGTTAATTTCGCTGCACGGCAAGGAAAAGTGCTGTGATCCGGGCCGCCGGGGGGGGGGGAGTGGTCCAAAATCGCCAAGGCCATCCCAAACCGAAAATAGAATACAATAAGCGTATGGAAAGGGAAGATAATTCTTCTGTTTAAAAAAACAAAACAAAATTTGAAAGGAAATTTAGGAAGTGATAGTAAAGAGTCTCCTTGTTAGCAACAGCAGAAATTAGGAGATTCCCAAATTCCCAGTGAACTCTCCCTACACACACACGCACACGCACCCAGTCAACCAGACAAGAGAAAATCCACTGGGAAAAATTCAAATATTGCTGTTTTATAAATAGAAGGTGGTCAGAAAACAAACAGAGATGGCTTGTTCCTAGCTTCGCTGCTTGTTGACAACAGCTATATTTTCATTTCACTGGATTTTATAGGAGAAAGAGTAATCATAATCACATTAACGAAAATGATGACAGCGACGAAAAGGGGTTTTTTCGCTTTCTCTCCCAGGCAGAGAGGGTGGGAAGGTTTTAAAAAAATCTAAAGAGAAAATACCCTGTACACGGCTGGCTGGATAGCTCAGTGGGTTGGATATCCGGCTGCTGAGCCAGAGGATGTGAGTTCGATTCCCCCACTGTGCCTCCTGAGAGCGAAGAGCCAGCCTGGGTAGCCTTAATCTGCAAGACACAAGACACCAATATTGTATAAAAGCTTTCTGTTTAGTCAATGTTGTCATCAGACAGAAAGTCAAACCATTTGGAGGACCAGAGATAGAAGCTAGTAACTCCCATGTCAGAGGAGTAGTAAATTCCCTCTTGGTTTTAATCCAAATTTTTACAGAAGCTACCCAAGGTGCTTCTATAAAAGTCAAAACTATGGTTTTTTCCAGTAGCGATGTATGGAGGTGAGAGCTGGACCATAAAGAAGGCTGACCGCCAAAGAATTGATGCTTTTGAATGGTGATGCTGGAGGCGATTCTTGAGAGTCCCCTGGATCGCAAGGAGAACAAACTTATCCATTTTGAAGGAAATCCTGAGTGCTCACTGGAAGGACAGATCCTGAAGCTGAGGCTCCAAGACTTTGGCCATCTCATGAGAAGAGAAGGCTCCCTGGAAAAGACCCTGATGTTGGGAAAGTGTGACGGCAAGAGGAGAAGGGGACGACAGAGGACGAGTAAGCATGCCTAGAAGTACAGTCTTTGACAAATATATAGGACTCTTGTTTTTATAAAAGACACTCCTCAAAGGTAACCAATTCTGTGTTGTTTTACTGAAAGCCTTCTGCAAGACAGCGAATTAATTCTTCTTTGAGTTAACTAACGCAAAATCATTCTTCGCTATCCTCAGGACAGAAGGCGTAGCGCAACGATCAGACAACAACAACAAAAATAGTTTGAAAATATTTGTTTGAGGCACCTAGAACCGGAACGGAAGCCTCCAGCTGCTCTATCCTCTTCCTCACATTTCCCAAGAATGCTTTTGGGATATGATCCAGGGCCATTCTGGAAAAATAAATGAAGAGGGCAAGATGGCTAGAGGTTGTGGCTTTTTTGGGGGGCCTTCCTGGACACCCACCTCAAACGCCTTAAAAACGGGGTCCCAGGAAGGGAGAGAAGGAAAGGATCTTGTGAGTAACTTAGAAAGATACTGGGTGGGGGGAACATGGAAGAGCACGTAGAAGATCCTTGCATGTTCGGAAAGATACCGGGAGGTGGACTGGAGCCTCTCTTAAATGTCAAGCTACCTTTCTGACCTCTCTACCCTTCCTCGGCGGATCAAAACGGCAAACACATGAATACAACAGAATCAATAAGTAACATGAAATCTAAGAGTTAGACTTATGAAATTCAAATGGGATCACAATGTTTGCTTTGTTACTCTGTGATTTCTTTAAACATCAAGACAAGAGTGTTTTGTTCTGTTCTCCGAACACTTTTCTCTTCACTTTGTTCATCGGAAGCCGGCAGAGCTTCGCAGCCGGGGCACCGTCGGCCTGGCAGGTGGGACGTCCCCAGCTTAGACCCCTGGCATCTCTTGTCGGCAGCATGGCCGGGAGACGTGAATCGCAGGACTCAACGTCAAGCCAGGATTAAGTCACACCGAGGACTCGACTCTGAGTATCTCTAAAGGTCTGTGGCAAGGGAGTCCCCCAACATGAAAATGCTGCCTGACCGTGACTCAAAAAGGCCCTCCACATTAAGTTCATATTCTAAAATTCTCCAAATTTCCTGCCTCTCTCTTGCATGTAGATACAGAGTCTGTGCTATCCGGGAGACTTTAGGTGTTATAGTCCAGAGAGTAACTCTTAAAGCTCTGTGCAAATGGTGCCCTTTTGCCTAAAAGGGAATCCACAGCTCACTATTAGTATATACAGTGGTGCCTCGCATAACGAGCGCCCCTTAGAGCGATTAAATCACTTAACAAGGGGCTCTGGGCCATCGCTGGAACATTCGCTCAGCGATGGCCCCTATGGAGGTTTTTCGCATTGCATTTTCGCGCCCTGCCCTCGCTTACCGAGGGTGCGAAAATGGCGGCGCTTTGGAAGAACTTCACACAACAGTGAGTTTTCAAGCCATAGGAACGCATTGAACAAAGTTCAATGCATTTCTATGGCTTTGTTATTTCCGCACAGCGATGTTTCCCATAGCGAGGGATAATCCGGAACGGATTAACCTCGCTATGCGAGGCACCACTGTATTGTAACTGATCATGATAACAGGTAAGAATACAGGAGGATCCCCCCCCTGCCATCCACGTGATCAATAAACCCTGAATCATTTATCCGCTAGCTATACTGTATATATATTTTAAAACCCCAGAAATAACCTATTTCTATGTATTTCCAGGGTGTTTTTTACCAGAACTGTCCACTAGAAAGAACCAGAGCATGCAATGTATAGCGTTTGATACTTCCACGTTTTTCATCATCCACGGGGGCGGGCAGCTTGGAACAGATCCCCCACGGATGCCGAGGCTCAGCTGTACTAGCAAGAAGAAGATGATTACGGTGCTGGCGGTAGAGGATAATATTGATCATTATATTCTGGCTGGAGAGCTCAGTGGTTGAGGCACCTGGCCATGGAGCCAGAGGTTTGGTGTTCAATTCCCCCCCATGGGGCCTCCTGGGCAGGGGCTGGACTGGATGATCTTACAGGGTCCCTTCCAACTCTGCAGTTGTAAGATCATTATTATTATTATTGCTTATTATAATCATTCTCACCCGGATGTGTCTTCGGATCTGCGTTAGGAGGTGGGATCCTCTCTTTTCTCGCAAACCCCAAGATTATCTCCCCACCCCACCCCCCAATTTACACCTTCCTCGGGGGACGTCAAGAGCACCAAGCCTACCTGGCCATCCGTTGTCAAAATACGGCTTAATGAGTTCTCCGAGCTTCGTGTCGTCGGCTACAGCTTCCTTTAAGATTTGCCCGCAGCAAACTGGGAGGAAAAGGGAAACAGAAAGAAGCAAGGTTAATTTTTAAAAAGGAAGCAAGGAAAGGAAAAAAAGGTGGGGGGGGCAAACGCAGGGAGGTCGCCAACGGCAAAGGAACAGCGGCTGGGAAAAGGTCATTGAATAAAATTGAAGGTGAGAAATTTGAGTGACTTTTCTCTCTCTTCCCCCCCACCACCACCTTACACACGCCCATCCTCTTTCTTCTCTTCTGGCCTAGCTGAGCAAACGATATGGAATTTAAAAAAAAAAAAGAATACATTTGGCTGGGAAGGTGTTGATTTATTATTTATTTCTTCAAAGGCGGAGAGGGAGAGACAGCCATCCGAAACATGACAACGGAAAAGAATCATAAAGTAATTGGAAGGGGGGCCTTGGAGGCCATCCAGTCCAACCCCCTGCTCAAGGCAGGAATCTAAGTCAAAGCAGGTCAGACAGAGGGTGGTCCAGTTTGCTCCTGAAGGCCTGTTGTACTGCTCTAACAGTTAAGAAGTTTTTCCCGATATTCAACATTTCAGTTGAATGCTGGCTTCCTATGGCTTGAGCCCATGAGGACATCTCCTGCCCTCAGGGATGATGGAGAACAGGTCCTTCTCTCCCCCCCCCCTCCTCTGTAGGGTTGAAGCGCTCATAAACCAAGAAAGAGTCAACCAGGTTGCCAACCCGCTAATTCCTCAAAGGAGCTCCCAAGCTCCCATCGTTCTGCTAGAAGATCCACGCAGCACGCAGAACACAATGATCCCTCGGGACTCGCTCTTCTCTGATTTTGACAACACAGGCTTTCCAGATAGCATTTCTCTTCAAAGGAGGCTCTAGTCCTTTAATCTCTCCTGCATTAATCTTCAGTACACTCTTTCCATCTTCTCTATATTTTATCCTGATCAGATCATGTGCTTCTCCTCTTGGTCGCTCAGCATTCCTAATCTAGGCTTAAATTTCCCTTTGATTTCTCCATATCTGTTATAATATGTTTATTATACCATTGTTGGTGTTCAGCACAAAATTCTAGTTTCTCAGGCTAGGAGCGGAGGATCTTATATCCTCACTGAACAGAGGAACAGACAGCCCAAGATACATGAGTAAGAGTGGAAAGTGAATTTTGAGAACAAACCATTGATGATGCCATATTTCTGAGCTAACAGCGCCGCCTGTAAACTCTTTCCAGAGCCTGGGGGTCCACAGAGGAGAATCCGGGGCGAAAACGGGGCAGCTATTCGAGGTGGAACTTGGACGTGGGACAGAACTAAGAGGAAAGAAGGCAGAGGGTTAGAATGCAGAGACAAGGCAAAATTAAGATCCACCCCAAACGTTTTAAAACTGGGACTGAGTTCACTCATAGAATCATGGGATATTGAAGTCGGAAGGGGCCTCGGAGGCCATCAAGTCCAACCCCCTGCTCAAGGCAGGAATCCCAACCAAAGCAGAACAGATATTTGTCCACTTTTCTCTTGAAGGCCTCCACGGAGGTCATTTACTTCCATTGTCGTACTGCTCTAACAGTCGAGACCTTTATCCTGAGATTCAGCCTAAATCTGGCTTCCTGTCGCTTGAGCCCATTCGTACGTCTCCTACAATCTGGGATGATGGAGGACAGATCCTGCCCCTCCTCTGCAGGACCGCCTTTCAAGTCTTTGAAAGGGGCTCTCCTGTCTCCCCTCTGTCTTCTTTTCTCAAGGCTAAACGTGCCCGGTTCTTTCGGTCTTTCCCCACAGGGCTTGGGTCGTTCTTTCAGTCTTTCCTCACAGGGCTTGGGTCTCCAGTCCCCCGATCATCCTCCTTGCCCTCCTCTGAGCTTTTTCCAGTGGGGGTTGCCCAGTCCTCTGATCATCCTTCTTGCCCCTCCTCTGAATTGCAGTGTCCAGAACCGGACACAGGACTGGAGATGAGGCCTCACCAGCGCAGAACAGAGGGGAAACTAGACCTAACAAGCCAGCCTTAGCTCCCCTCCCAAAATGCAGCTGGATCGGCCATGCTCAAACAGAGCTGTAATGCAGAAGGGCAAAAATGCTCTTTAGCCGTGCTGCAGAGAGATTACTGGATGGGAATATTTTACAGTAGGGAAATATTACATGGCTTAATGTGCTAGCATGCGAGATCTGGGCAGACAGCCCTTGACGTTCCGCTCATAGGCATCATCTCTCGTTGGTTAGGGATACTGAGCATCTCTCCCCTGCTTCTACTCCCAAAAAAACCCAGAAGCCGGTTTCGCTTACAGCCCGAAAACAGCCTGTCTGCACATAATTTATCCCCCAATAAATATCAGCGAACCAGAGAAGGCTCTTAGCTGTTCTTTTTCAGCCCCGTCTATCCGCAACACAAACATAACAGGCCAACCAAGCTGCTTACAAACGATGCTTAATTTGCAGTAAATAACCAAGTTAATTAGGAGTAATGCTCCCCCAGACGGTCTCCACATCTAATTATTCTTTTAAAAAAAATCTGTCTACTTGACGGATCGACTAAAAAAAAGAAAATCACAGAGAGGGTAAAAAAAAAAGAGAGAGAGATCTAGAGAGGGTTTTTTCCATTCCAATTTTCAATTTATCTCACTGCATTATTAATTAATAATAATTAATATTCAGCCTGCACACATATATTTACAATTCAAGGCATGAATTGTTTATGAATGATGATGTGAACTTTTAAATTTAATTAAGTAATTTAGGGGTAATTAATTTGTAAATTCCGAATATAAACTTCCAAGTTGTTTACTTTAAAGTGCAGGGCTCGTAATTAGAGGCAGGGCTTTCTCAAGACGTTAAAAAAAAGGAAATAAAACCCAGCTAGGCAAGATAAACAACCCACCAGGACATTGTTGGGAAAGGGGAAATTTAAAATAAAAAAGAAATGAGATGAAACACACACACACACCCCAAAAAAACTGTGCTTTGGAGTTCTTCGTTTCTCTTCTTTTCCAAAGCCCAAACGAAATGGGCAATTAGCATGCAAAGCAAACACAAGGACATAAAGACATGGTCTGATAGGCCTAGAAAAAAAAATCTTCGCTTTAATGATCATTATTATAAAAGCTATTTATTCACGTATTGATTTTATGAGCCTTCTGTACTGCCCCCGCTTAGTGAAAAACACTGCTCCGAACGGTTTACACAAGAAACGTAGAAATATAAGAATCTCAGGCCCGCCGACGCCGATCCGCAACAAAGAGAATCAAAAACGTCGCCCAATCAAAAACCGGCAAGACTTAGGGAGACGTGTAATAGAGCTTACGTAGATTATGGGTCATGAATGAATCTCACGGGAGCATCTTGTTCGAAACCTCTCTGTGCTGCTCTGCCTTCACCAGCTTCCTAAAACGTTGGAGGGAGAGGCCGTGGTGTACCTCCAATGGGCATCTTTTCCACAGGGATGGGGCCACCACCGAGGAGGCCCCACTCCCTAGCAGACACGCTTCTCCCCTCTCTTGCTGTGGCCCTCCTTAGTTGCCAAGCCTGGGGAGCATGGGGGAGACTGGTAGTGGTTCTTCAAGAGAGACACTCCGACAGGGACCAAGGTCCCAAACCATTAAGGGCTTTGTCGGTCCAAGAAAAAGCTATATGTTCCTCACCCGTAGGTGTGCTTTTAGAAGACAACAGAAGGTGGCGGATCCTAATCCAGAGGAACAGCAAAGCGAGATTCCTAACGGAGTGGAATCCTAGGACTTCAACTTGAGGACCTATTGAATCGATTGGATCCGTATTTAAGCGTTGACTTCAGAAGTTCCTTTCCTTGGGCTCCTTGTTGGATTCCTTTGGCCTCCCCATGACCAGACCCCAGAATAAGTCACACAAAAGGATCGTTCTGAGTGTGCTTATCAGCCATACCCCCCCTCTTGCCTCAACAGGGTGGCCCGGGACGCAAGCCGCCGAATCCGTCCCCTACCTTGCAAGAAGACGTCGGGACACGGCTGGTCGGCGTTGATCAGTTTCATCTGCTCCCCAAAGGACTGGAGAATCCCGTAATAGTTCCGGTGATATTCCAGCAGCCGCCTCGAGGTCTCCGCTTCGGACAGACCGTCCGGCTTCTTCAGATTCCGGAGTACGGTCTCATCGGTCGGCCAGTCAAACGTGGTATGGTAGACCTCTGGGAATGTATGAGTAGGAAAAATAGGTTCGAGGGGGCCTCTCCCCAAGATCCATCTCAAATGGCTTCAAAAGAAGCCTTAAATCATACCGGTCACATATCACCGTGAAGACACCCTAACCCAGGCAGAGGTTGTGAATTGGACACGTAAACTGTCCCGTAACTGATCGCACAAGGGAAAACCCACACAGGTCCAGCCCTTGTACACATAGCTTAACTGGATTCTGTCCCAAAGCGTTTATTCGGCCCTTTCTGAACCCGATTCTATCATTTCCGCCGTAACAGCAAGAAAACAAACGCACCTCCAGTAACGGCATCGACTCTTTTCCCCAGGTTTCTCTCTATCAGCACGACGTCTGGAGCATACAGCACCACTGGAATACCAAAGAGAGCAAAGGCGCCGTTCATTTTTGTTGCTTTCTTTTAAAATATTTGTTTCAACCCCTTCTGTTCTTCCGGGAAGGAAGGCGCCCTGGGACGGGGCATCTCGCCCAAGGCCACCCAGGCTGGCATCACCCGCAGGAGGCCCCGTGGGGGGGAATCGAACTCCCAACCTCTGGCTCTGAAGCCAGAGATCTAAACCAGTGAGCTAGTCAGCCAGCTCAGTGAGTTAGGGTGATGACCTGCACATCATCAAAAGGGAGGATGACTCTTCAAATAGAGGATCATGCTCCCTTAAAAAAGGGGTATGTGGCCACTGAAGGTTGCAACAGAAAGAATACAGAATGACCATCAGCCAAAGACTACCCCTGATTAGAGACTCCCCTTTTCAATTTTAGAGTGCACCCAACCTCATCTCATTGTGCAAAAGCTGTGCATGCCCCCAAATTTTTTTAAAAAATGAACTACTCAATTCCTCTTGAACCATCTTTCAAAATGTGAAAGGAACAGGGGTTAGCTTTTGGCTGGGCTAAGGGCAGCCTTCCCTGATTCTGGCTTGGCTTGGCTACCCAGCTTCACTATTTGGCTTTTGCCCTCTTCTCAACCACCAGCTACAAGAACACACCACCCATAGTTCAGCTCTGAATGCAGTCCTCTTTTATCATGGCTCCATCAAGTACCCACCCTCACCATTCATGGTGGTTCTCGTTGTCCGTGGCCCTTTTTGGAACTGCCTGGCAAGACAGTGGTGCCCCGCTTAACGCTTACCCCGCATGACGTCGAAATTGCTTTATGATGAGTTTTTTGCGATCACTATTGCGATAGTAAGACGATGGTTGCAATGGTTTTTTTTCCTAAACGGTTATTTTTCCGGCTCCTCAAAATGGCTTTCTCTCATAAAATGGCTTCCCTCCCTTCTCAAAATGGCTGCTTTCCGGACCCCTGCTGCGGAAGGCAGCGTTTTTAAACAGCTGATTGGCAGTTCTCTATGGGCAATCTTCACTGGACGATGAGGTATTTCCCCATTGGTTTTCAATGCATTCCAATTTTTTCCCCCGCCTGACGACGATTTCGCTTAGCAGCCATTTTCCTGGAACGGATTATCGTTGTCAAGTGGGGGCACCACTGTATACGTGTTTTTTAAGTATGAAAAAGACACATTCTTACCAATATGCTTGGGAATGATACCCATTGCCTGGAAGGTCCGTGCAAGTTCTCGGGTCTCAGGGAGCCCATCAAGAATCCAGCCCTGGTGGAATAAGATGCAGAACGGTTAATACAGTAGGAGCCCCATATCTGCAGGGGGGATCAGTTCGAATCCCGCCCTGCCAGATGCTGAAAAATGTGGATTATAGCAATTGCTATACACAGCACTGTCTCTGTCTCCACCTAGTGGCCAGTTCTGATAATTTCATCATGGAAATCTTTTCCTCTAGCAGCAAACACTATATACTGCATGATCTCTGCCTCTCTCCAGTGGCCAGTTTTGGTAACTTCAAGGTTAGACGTATATATTTCTAGGATTCTTCTATTCATGCTTTTAATATTTTTCGATGTGGGATGAAGACATAGCGCTAATCTCATAAACTTGAATACACTCATTCCAGATATCGCAGCATATGGGAAGGGCCAGAGCGCTACAGCGCTAAACTCCACAACAGTACAAAGGATACCAAAAAAAACCGTTGTTGTTGTTGTTGTTTGTAAACAGACAACATTTTGCAAGAATTCAATGAAAAACCATACAAAGCAGGTTAAAATTTTCCCAGACATCCACCATTTCTGACAACTAGTCCTTAACGTGGAATATATGCTGTATATGACACAATCCTTAGAAGTGTCACATTTAATCAACCCAATATTTGCTTCGAACCAAATAAATTCACTTGCAGCCGAAACGCAACGAAACCGACACAAAACCCTTTCACAACTTGACTCTGTAACCTCCCTCCAGAGGTGCCACCACGGATCAGCCAGTAGTGGGGCCAACACCAAAGGAGAGCCCCCCCCCCTCGTGGCATGATTCTTTTTTTCCAGAAAAAAAACAAGAGCTGCTCAAGACTGCCCTTCGGCCCGTGGGGCCAACACCAAAGGAGAGCCCCCCCTTGTGGCATGATACTTTTTTTCCAGAAAGAAAACAAGGGCTGCTCAAGATTGCCCTTCGGCCTCATCTGGTTCTCAGAAACTTAGCTCCGTTTGCCACAGCACAGGTGGCGAGACATGAGTTTTAAAATTATTAAGTCCAATTTAATTTTTTTTCTTCTCCGCTGGTTGCTTACCAACAGATTGTTGTGCTCCTGCCACAAACTTTTGGAGCTCAAATGGGGGGATTGTGTGGGTGCGCCGGTACACGCAAAACATTTTAATATTGCATTAAGCCATCGATAATTACCTTCTCCTACATCAACTGGAAGCCATAATCGGCAAGGGAGTCAAAAGAGAGAGAGAGAGAGAAAAAGCTCTAGAACAATTCGAGGGAAATATATCCCACTGTGGAGGAAAACCAGGGCATTCTAATTACACTCGAAAATACAACCGTCTACTTGCAACGCTCTAATTAGCCCAGTTTTAATAACACGGCAGGCCGCGCACCGCAGATTACTGCAGGAAATAAAAATACAACTTCTGGGGACTCTTCCGTTTGGGTTTGCTGCCGGGGGCTCGCCCTGCCACCCCCGTGACATGAGCCGTGCAAAGAGCAAGGATCCCAGGGAAATCCGCCCTCCTTAAAGACGGGCGGGAGTCAATCCGAAGGGATCGAATCTTAGAAGGCTGGAGGAGTGAAGGGCTTTGTGATGCCAGCGGTGAAGTATGGCAGAAGGCCAATGATCCATCCTTATTTGGACCCCGGGGACAAGCGCATAAAACGCGGCGTGTGGAACACCTCCCAATCCTGCTGACGACTGCCCCGTGTGGCGAGCTGCATCATTGCAGCCTCTTTGTCAAGCGGTGGAGCACTGCCCCCTTGTGGCGAGCTGTGTCATTACCGTTCATCAAACGGATTCAGCCCAAGCAGGTACAGTAGGAAGCCTGTATCTGCATGGGATTGCTTCCAAGCCCCTTCTCTCTCTAGTGGCCAGTTCAGGGAATGACATGACAGAAATGTATTTCTCCAGGGAATGTTATCAGAACAGATCACTAGAGGGAGCCAGAGATATTATGCATATAATACATAGTATCTCTGGCTCCCCCTAGTGATCTGTTCTGATAATGATACCACGGAAATATATTTCTCTAATGAATGCTATACATAGTATGGTCTCTGGTTCCCTCTCATGGCCAGTCCTGGTAACTTCACCTTTAGAAATATCTATTTCTAGGATTTTTCTTTTAATATTTTCAGATGGTGGGTAAGTGAATCAGTGAATACTGATCCCGTGGATACAGGAATTGGCTCCTCCTGGATCCAGGAACAAATCTTGGAAATGTTACTTTTTTTGGACTACAACCATCAGAATAAAGGCCATGCTGGCTAGGAGATTTTGCAAGTTATACTTCTTTTTTTAAAAAATCCCAATTTCTGCACAGGAAGAAGGATGAGGGGAATTCGGCAAGACTCTGCCGAAGACTTTGGAGAACTGTCAAATCGGTAGTATCAAGCTAGGTCAGGGGCGGACAGTGATGAGAGGAGAGACCAGAGCGCCTTCTTGGCCGAAACCAACAATCCTTCCACCGACGATCCCCGATGTTTCCTCGGCGGACGTCAGCGAGCGACCAAGCTCCCACGGAAAGTTCTGGAACCAAAAATGCACGGTTCCTTCTCCGCCAACGGAAACGCGCCTCCGAGCCTGATGTTCCGACAAAACCGTTTCTAAAGCAAGGCGACCCGGAAAAAAAGAGAGAGAAGGTAACTCGACAGACAAGTTGTTTGCAATTAATCACATTTCAAGTCCCCAGGCTGATGCATTATAGATCAGCCCTCTCCAAAACGGGGATATATGGGTCATTTCTCTACACACACACCCCACAAAGGTCCACCTGACGCAAGGGCCCATCCCATCCTTAATTAGAATACATTATCGGTTGGCTTGACACTTCAGTGAAATGTCTGGCTCTGCCACCGAGGCGCAGCCCCGCTCGCTCGGCGCGGGTTTATTGATATTCCGGCGCGTTCCCTCCGCCATGCCCCCAGTGGCTTGGTTCTTGTTTTATCACACATCAAAAGGGCCGTATGCTCAGGGCAGGGCCCCAAGCCTCTTCTCTCCCCCCCACCCCACGGCCTCTGTGTGTGGCTCAGAGACGGAGATCTGGAACAGCTGCGAGGAGGACGGGATCACAGAAAGAAAAGGCTCCAAACAGATGCCAGAGATAAAAAAAAGAAGACGGAGGATAAGAGGATGATGACCAGGAAAAAAAAGGGGGGAGAGAAAGAGACAGGGAGGGGAGAAAGCGACTAGGGAGCCAAGCGTCGAGGAACAACATGGAGCGAAGCAAATCACACATTGTGCTGACACTGATCTTCTTTGCCCTCGTGACAATCATTAAAGTGTAATTAATGCCTTCACAAGCGAAGGATATGTTTCTTTATAAAGCCTTTTTTTGGGGGGAGGGGGGAGTTCCCCAGAAAGGCAAATAATCCCCAGACTCTCAAGGGTGGGTCACGGTGCCCTACGTAAACGGAATTAAAGATCCGTAATGGTCTTTTTTTTTCTTCTTCCCCTAAATGGCTCTATGCCTCTTCTCAAAGGGATCTGGGTCGTGTCGGCTTCTGGATCCATCCAAAGGCCAAATGGGCACATGGGGTTTGGCTTTTGCTGGATGGGGGGTTTGTAAGGGTGAGGTCGGAAGCAACACTCCGAGCCAGGCAAAGATTTTGGAATCGCATTCGTTTAAGTGCCGGATAGAGGGTTTGTAAGGGTGAGGTTGGAAGCAACACTCCAAGCCAGGCTAAGATTTTGGAATCACATTTGTTTAAAGGTTGAGGGTTTGTTTGTTCACAGGGTAGAAAGCTCCTAACAACTTAGGCCCCGGGAAAGTATTGCCATCCTTAGTGGTTTTGAGATCATCCAGATGGGCACCACGTGCCCCTGATGTCTGTTCTGCCATTGTTTAGAAAGCAGCAGTTTTTAAAAGAAAAAAATGATTTATTTTTAAATATAATAATCTTTCAGTTTCTGGAAAGCCCTGGGGGCTGTGGGTCAGCGGGGAGGAAGCCTTTAACTACTTATTTATGTCTACCGAGGTGTAAAGCTGCTGTTCTTCTCCAATATGGAAGAGTGTCGGAAGGAGGTAACGTCAATCAAAACTGCTTTAAATGGATGGACTGAAGGAGATCAAACAGCGATGGTATCGATCAAATCTACTTTGGCATTGACGAAAGCTCTTGCAGGCATGCACGCAAAGCCATGCACTTGAAGAATTAGTGGGTGTGAGGAGGCCAGCCTAGCATAGTGGATTACTACGCAGCGGTTGTGTCTGCCCTGGGAGTCCTCGGGGAATATTATTGATGTTTAGAGCATCAACGGGATAGAGCTGAATTAGTGGGTGTGAGGAGGCCAGCCTAGCGTAGTGGATTACGCAGTGATTGTGTCTGCCCTGGGAGTTCTTGGGGAGTATTACTGATGTTTAGAGCATCAACGGTATAGAGCTTCAGAGCCGCTGGGAGGCAAGGCTCAAGGGAAGCCCGTGCTGGCCCTACCATTAGATAGAGTGAAGCCACAAGCTGGGTTGGTCAACGTAGCAGCAGGAAGCCGCCCTCCCCTGCAGTGCAGGCTGGCTGATTGAGGCAAACAAAGCGCCCCTACTGGTCCCCAGAGTTCATCTCTTAGCCTCACAGGATGTACCCCTCTCCCTGTGCGCCCTGTCACAACCTGTCCTGCGCCCTCTAAGCCATCCTGTCATTCTCTGGTGTGGCAGGAGATGCTCTTCCATCCCCATGATATGGAGGTAAAGAGCAAGGAAGGAGCAAGAAAAGAACACACAAGCAGACCAGCATGGAATGGGAAGCCGCCATCTTGCCTGCGGTAGGCAAGCAGTGGCTCAAGACCGCCATGGGGGAGTCCCAAATCATGCAGAGAGAGACTCCCGCAGCCTCTGAACTATGAGGCAGAGGGCAAGGCTCATACCTCCAGATACCAGGACGCTGCGGCATCAACGCGGGCAAAGATGGATGGATGGGCCTTCCTGTGCAACAAGAATGGCCCAATTAGCCAACCCCGGCTTTTATGGGCTGCCACCCCGGACTCACAGGGAGCCTTCAATTTCACTCCTCGTGGCGCACAGTTTTGAGCCAGCCATAACTCTACGGGCTCGCTGGGCAGGATCCGAACGAGTTGTTTCAGAGAGTCCATAAATTCTTTGCTGCGGCGACGAGCCAAGGATCCTGGAAACAGCCACCGGAGTTGTGCCGACCTCACGCAATCCCCCCCAAGGCTCAAAGGCTCCCCAGACCCGTTCCTGCGCATCTCCCCCAAACTCTAGAACATAACACCTGTTATAAGCCTGCTCGCCACGCCGTAAGAGCCCTGGAGCGATTCCTCACGATCCTAACGCCATTTGTATTAGTACATGAAGCCGGCTGGCGTCCCGGCGGAGCCGTGGATCAATAAAACCAGCCTCCTTCGAGGCTCCGAGCCACATCCATAAACCCACGCGTGTCAAAACAACGGCGCACAACATTCGGTGCGCCTACCGTCGGCGGGACGAAAGCTGGGCAATTAATGCCGGCTGAACGAGACCACCAGGAAAAATAAAACAAACAGCTGGCAGAACGGTCGGTCCAGCAGCCGGCTTCTTGCAATTTATGCACGTTTCCCCCCCCCCAGTATGAAACACCGACGAGCCGCCGGGCATAAATCTGGCTCAAGAAGCCAAACCTATGGCCTCTCCAAGGCGTGCATACACGCACAAACACAAGGTCCATTTTAAAAGGAGAATTTAAGATGCTCTGTGCTTCCTTTTGGCTGGAAATTTTAAACCGGAAGAGCCACCTCTCTCGAGCTGCTGATCGTCATGCTGATTCCTGCAGAAAACATGACGAAGAGCACCTTCGGGATACCCCAGGTCGTCTGGAGCTCTGGGGCTTCAATGGGGCTGAGGCCCACCTGAGCAAACTAGCCCATTGTGTGTGTTTTCAGGCTACAGAGATGCACACAAGGGGTGGGAGAGATTTTCCCTTAATGATCGACAAGGCAGTAGGACGCCTGTGGCTTAGGCAGAGATGATCCAGGAGTAGACAGAATCCAAGCCTTCTCTCTTTGCCAGGTCAGCGCGTCTGCTTTGTACCAATACTCTTAGATCCGAGCTTAAAAAAAAACAACCTTTTTTGGGGGGACTGCCAAATGTCCCACCCAGCACAGCCACTGAGATTCAAAGGCGGACGTCCAAAATTTGAACTTCTGCATTCAGACAGGATGTGCAACCATGGTTGAGTGCGACATATGGCTTCTTTCTGAAACCCTTTCTCGCCTTTTATAGCCTCCTCTTGCATAGCCAGATTTGGGGTTATGTGGCATCCAAAGTAAGGAGCGCCATTTAAGCCTGACGCGGTTGGTTTCGGCACTATTATCACCGTTCAAATATCAAGCAAAATGACACTTAATTCTACCCACTGTTCAAAACACAGCTTGCCCAAGCCACACAAGGTGGGTCTTGCTGATTGATTGATTGATTGATTGATTGATTGATTGATTGATTGATTGATTGATCATGGACCATCAATTCAATTCTGACTTATGGACCCCTTTTTCAGAATTTTTCAGGTATTCAGAAGTGCCTTTTCCCTTCCTTTCCTCTAGGGGGAGCCCTGGGACTTTGTGCAGCTGGCCCAAGGCCACCCAGGCTGGCTGTTCTCCCAGGAGGCCCAGTGGGAGGATTTGAACTCCCAACCTTTGGCTCCACAATCAGATACCTAAACCATTGCTATCCAGCCCATCTCTAGACATCACGCCCAAAAGTGTCAGATCACACTTTCTGATTTCGCCGCTTAATTACATTTTTTTCTCTCTCTCTTTCGATACCATACCAAACTACTGGTAAATTTTCTTGAAAAAGGCTCGGTGGAAGGTCTGGATGGTGCCTTCATGGGCCTCGTGCCTGTTCGAGTTTATATACATTTATGCAAATGTGGGAAAACTGCGCTAGATATTTTGGCCCGCTGGAGGAAAACATGTCTATCCATCTTTAGTCAAGGGGTGGGGAGAAAGATAAATAAATAGATAAATTACTGACGCAGCTTAGCTTTAAAGACCTCTAAGAGAAATCAGGCAGACCCAAATAATTCAACTGCCAAGTGATTTGCAATGCAAAAATTTAATTCTACTTTGCAAATTCAAAATGAGGGGATAAATTATGGATTAAGGCACACAGTATTTTGTACAGCCAAAACTGACAACCACTTTCCAGTCGTTTAGATTTCCCTTCCAACCTACTGCATCACGTTCCCTCAAACAATTCGAAAGGAAGGTAGCAATTTTCTCTCCTGTCTGAGGGGAAAGGGGGGGGAGGAACGGGGAGAAAGAGCAGCCAAGCACCCCAAAAAAATTACTCCGATTTAGTCCTTTAAATGAGAAGAGGAGAAACAAGGAAAGGGCTTTTAATAGTTAATGAACTAAAAATAATAATTAATCTGCCCCCCCTCGTTCGATGTAAACTGTTATGAAATCAGAGTCTGTAACAGAAATAAGGATTAATTAAAAACCAGTGTGGGGTGAGGCTTGAAGCACTCACAGGAGGGGGGGGAGGCAGAGGTTCAGAACCGTACGTTTTCTAATAATAATAAGGTGCCCTCAAGTCAATTCTCATTTATGGCAACCTTTTTTTCAGGGTTTTGCAGGTAGAGAACACTCAGAGGTGGTTTTCCACTCCCATCCTCTAGGGGGCAACCTTGGGACTGTGCAGCCGGCCCAAGGCAACCCAGGCTGGCTCTTCTTCCAGGAGGCCCAGTGGGGGGATTTGAACTCGCATCCTCTAGCTCTGCAGCCAGATACTAACCACTAAGCTATCCAGCTAGTTCCATGTTTTCTAGGCAGTTACTATTCCCGGAGGACTTCCTGGGGAGTTACTACCACTCAGAGTCACCTGCTTGACGGGGTTACCTGTAAGGATAAATTGGGGGGGCAGAGGGAGGATTGCTTTACTGAAAGAAAACAGAGAGGTAGCAGCAAAAAATAAAATAAAATTACATGCAAGAAAGCAAAGAGACATGGCAGGCAAGGCTTCACACGGTAGCCTTCGCATCTGCATTTGTTTGCTGCACCAACTTTTGGAAAATTCAGAGTCAGAAGTCACCTTTTGGGGGGAGGTGTGGCTCCCAATATGGCCAAAAAAATATAACAGTGGGAAACATGGGGGAGAAAGAATTACGGCCACCCGTCTTTCTGTCCTGTTGTAATCGGAAAAAGAGCCGCGTGGGAGGGATTTGAAGATGTTCTCCTCTACAACCATCCTTTCCATTTTGAAAGATGGGTAGGTGTGCCCACGGGTTAGCGAGCACTTCCTTTTTTTTGTAAAGGAACGTCCTTTAACTTGGAATTCACTCAAGAACCACCGCTGCTTGCGGGAGAGTAAAAGGAGCCTTTGGAGGTAATCTTCTTCCCCGACAAGGTCTCTCTCTCTCTCTCTCTCTGTGCCTCATTTTTATTTACCGTTTGGGGGTCCCAAATCTCCCCTCCTTGATTAACATTCTTTTCGTTAAATATGCATTAAGGTATTTTTAAACATCTTTATTAATTCATACCGTGTTACCTAAATATACCTTCAAAGACGCGGGGGTTGATTTAAATAGGGCTGATTTTGAAAGGCGGGGAGTCACACGGCCTGACGGGGGCCCCCCCGCTTCCTCGCCTCCATACCGCCAACCACATCCAGATTAAGAATGGGTAGTGGCCTCCGTGGACCTGAGATTCGAGTCCAGAAGCTGCCACGTCGGCTGATGAATTAGCAAGAACTTTGATAATAACAGCAGTAAAGTCATATAGAGGGCTTCCACCGGTTCTTCGATACCGGTTAACCACCAGCATCACCTATTGATTTATTTACTTTCCCTAAGGTGGCCTGTTTGGTTAGGCTGGCCTGCTCCAAAGTCTACCGTTGTTGGAGGCAGTCAACAAACCTATCTAGAGTTCTCCTTTTGATCCCCTCCCGAGCTGGGAGATTAACATATGCACACCCTCACCCTTCCTTTTATTCTGTTAATCACAGCTTCAGACTCTCCATGCCTGATGTGCAAGAAGGGATCAATTCTGAGTTCCCCCCCCATGCGGCCTCCCCTCTCCACCCCTTCTGCCCATTCTTTTCCTCGCAAGCGATTGTACGCCAGCCGTATGTTTCTATCCTCCAAAGAGCAATATCATCATCATCATCTTCGAACTGCAGAGGTGGAAGGGATCCTCTGGATCATCGAGTCCAGCCCAGCGGGAGAATCGAACTCCCAACCTCTGGCTCCGTAGCTAGATGACTAAACCACTGCTGAACTCTCCAGCAGCTCAGCAGATGCATAAATCCTAGTTTTGCCCGTCCTGTGGTTCAAAAGAGGGGGGGAAATGGAAATATTTTTGCATAGCCACACGATCACAAAATTGCCGGAATAGTTGGAAGACAGCTGGGTTCTTTTAAGGAGAGAGGCAGGGTAAAAATATTAGAAAGAAAGAAAGAAAGAAAGAAAGAAAGAAAGAAAGAAAGAAAGAAAGAAAGAAAGAAAGAAAGAAAGAAAGAAAGAAAGAAAGAACGAAAGAACGAAAGAACGAACGAACGAACGAACAAACAAACAAACAAAATTGTTTAATAGGGAGAAGGGTGCTCTTCTCAAGAAAATCTGTTATTTTAGAACTGTAGAGTTGGAAGGGATCCTATAGATCATCCAGTCCAGCACCTGGAAAGGAGGCACCGTGGGGGAATCGAACTCCCAGCCTCTGGTTTGGAAGCCAGAGACCTAAACCACTAAGTTCTCTTTCCTAAAGGGCGAAGTAGACCTATTTTTGCCTATGATGACAGGTGAGACTATCCTGTCGATAAATCTCAGTACGTACTCTCTGAAAAGGAGACCTCCCAGTTCTCCTGATCTTATTTTCAGCCATCAATCATTTCTTGCAACTCAGCGCAAAATCGCACAGAACTTGACCGGGAAAATCGCATCGCTGGAGCCGAGATCCTTCACGAAGGCTGGCGAATAATCATAGGAGGACCTCGCCATACCCAGAGGAAAGGTTCGAGAAAATTTTTGGATACAATGGCTTTTTTTTTAATGTTCCCACCAAAAAGCAATACTTACGTTGCAAAGGCAGTCTTCAAGCTGCATGCGCTCCTCGATCATACGGACCCACAATTCATCAGGAACTTTCTAAACAAGATTTTGAAAAGAGAGAACGAGAGAAACAGGGTGAGTTAATGATTCACAAAGGACTCTGTAGGAATTTTTAAATCCTTTTCTACTGGAATAAATAGTCCCAAACAGCTCGGCTATTTCTTTTGTGACAGATACGGAAGAGATGGGCCTAGCATTCTGTCCAATCGGTTTCAATAATGTTCCAATTAACTTTTAAAAAAACTTTTTGATTGACCGAGAAAAAGTCCAGACTAACCAAGGAGCTTAAAAGAGGCCTTCCACATTCACTCGTGATGTGGAATGCTGCTTCTCAGATTCCGTGTTGACTAGGAGACAGACTTCTGTAATCAAAAAGAAGAATCTGGGGAGATCCCTTCTGTTTGGTTCTGCTCAAAAGGAAGTCAACCCAACCGTGTTTCGCCTCAGGAACCAATAAGATTTCTTCGATTGAGTCAAGGCCCTCGTCAATAGCGGTGGATTCTAGTTCTCTCCAGGGTCCCCTTTTAGCTGGGATTCCTAAAATGCTAACAAGGTGCATTTCCGGCATTCTCCTGTCCCGTCCTTCTCTCCACGACACCACGCTGGGTCTATGCCCTCCAGTGAAAAAAGACAATTACGTCATCTTCTCAGAAGCCAGATGCTTTAAAAGCCAGATCCAAAAACTGCAGGGTGGGTGAGAGGACGTGGAGTCCCATCATCTATCTAAGAGAGGGGCTTCAAAAGGAAACACCCCACCCCCAGGGAAGCCAACCTAACCTATTTCCTACTGTCTTCCTGCAGACGGCAACGGTCTTTTAATCCAGATCAGCTTTCTCCAGCCAGTTTTTGAGGTCCCGATGTGTGTCCATTTCTCTCCTTGGATGTGCTTCTATAAGGTGCCATTGAGTGATCATTGGTATGCTAGGACTGCCTTTTGATTAACTCTATTTTAATGCAAGAACAGATGGTGTTTTCGGACGTATCTTGCTTTTATTTATGTTTCTGAGCTGCCCAGTGCTCCAAGAAAGATAGGACGTAATTGAAATCGGCGGTTTCCTACCTTGGATAACCCAGATGGTCTTGGACTACAACTCCCAGAAATCCTGGCCAGCACACCGAGCGGTGAAGGCTTCTGGGAGTTGTAGTTCCATTTCTGCATTTGCCATTTCTCAGAGCGGCCATTTTTTTAAAAAAATTTGTTGTATACTTATGGATCGTGGACTTAATATTGCCCGTTTATTGATGTAAGATGCCTCGCTCCTTCTGTTGTTCATAATTTTAAAGATCGTCTTTTAATGGCGTTAGCCAATGCTGTAACTCATGGTTTTCAACTTTTAAATATTGTCTTTCGTCACTGTAAGCCGCTTTGGGTCCTTTTCAAGGCGGGATAATAAATATTTTGAATTAAAAAGAATAAATAAATAGTCTGAGAACAGCCAGGAACCCCTGGTTAGGAACCACTGACTTAAATTATTAGGTAGACAGACAGACAGACAGACAGACATCATGCTGAGCCAGGGGTGGGAAAAGTGCAGTCCGCAGGCTGAAGGCAGGCTACCCCTAGGTTTGTTTGAGATCTTGGGTCCCTCTCTGACCTTCTTAATGCTCTCTGGTGAAAAGAGAAAATCAGTTTCAGCTTCTAGAAGCCTTCAGCGGGAGTGCTTTGAGTATGAAATGAGAGGCAGGATCCCCAGTCCACTAAAAGTGAAATTAAAAACAGCATTCCAGAGACAGAAAGCTTCTTTCAATAGAAAATAATAATAAAAATTCAGTCCTGGTGCAGACTAGAGTGGGTTGCTAGAAGTAGAACCAGGGGGTTCTGGGTCTCCAAAGGTTGCCCGCTCTGAAGCCAAGCAAAAGGAGAATCATTAGATTCTTTAACGAAAGCAGGATTGATGTTTTTCAGGAAAGAAGTTCCTTTCCAGACCCACGGGGCTTCCTCAGCCAGGGCTGGCCTCGATTGACCCCCAAGAGGTCCGTGCGGGTCGACCCATCGTCGGAGTTGTTCTTCCACGCCAACGGTAGCTTCTTCCGGCCTCGGTCGCTCATGCCTCCGTCGCTGAAAAGACCCCTTTGGTCCGCAGCCCCAGACGGCACCTCCAGAGGACGTCCCGGCTGGAACTCAGAAGGATGATGGAGAAGGGCCCTGGCTGTAGCTAGACACGAGCTTTGCCATTCACTGTCAGAAGGGCTGCCAAGAGAGAGGGAAAACGGGGCAGGGTTCACCTTCAAAAGGATGCGGGACGCCGTCTCTCTAGAATCCAGTATAAGGGGCAAATTTGGGAGCAGGCAGGCGAAGGACGGGCAAAAAAAATGACCCAATTAGACCTTCTGCGCTGTCCCGAAGGTCTTTCGAGACTCTTAAAATTAGCCATGCAAAAGGCAGGTGCATTGACACCGGTGGGGGGGGGGTGGAGAAGAGAAGAGAGAGGGAGAGAAAACGCAAGAGAGAGGAAAGGCAAAGGAACCGCGGTGTGTTTCTTCGAAGTCTGGGGGTCCCGCAGGGTGGCGCAAAACCTCCCGCAGCCTTTCGCGGCTGGAGGCCGGACCGTCGGCTTTGAGGCTGTCATTTTACAAAGGTGTCTCACGCTGCTCTCAGAAACAGGCCTGTCTCCTGTTTCCGTCTTTGATCTGTCCTTTCAAGGGAGGCTAGTGGCTGCCAGGAGCTGGGTATTCAAAAAAAAAAAAAGAGGAAGGGGGGGGGGTCTGCCCCGCCAAGACTTGCAAATCCAATTTAAAACCAGAGTTTTTCCAAACTCGTTTTTCCACCCGTGCAGGGAGAGAGGGGGGAAAGAAAAAGAAGGAAACGGATGGAGGCTTTCAGAGATCATGCGAGGGAGCTGGCAGGCCCGCCTGCTTTTCCGGGAAGCTTACACAATTGAGGTGGGGCTACAGAGGAAGCCCTGTTGCGGGCACTCACTGGGCTACCCTCTCAGGGTGGCGGGATGGGCAACAGAGCCTTGGCCCGAGGAGCTCGGATTCCAACCAGGCTCGATCCAGGATTAGAGAATATGGCAAGTACCAAACTCGGCTCTCCCACGATATCATGACACGAAGCATGGTCTACAGGAGGGAGAGGTCCATGGGGAGGGTCCTGCAAACACCAGCTGTGAGGGAGATGCCCAGGAGAAGGGAGCGCTGCTAGAGATGGGCACGAACCAGTTCGTTGCGGTTCGTCAAGGCGGTTCATCTCCCGCTCAAGACGAAAGGGGAGGGCAGAGACGTCTGTGCTCTTGCTCGCGACCGGGAGATCAGCCGAAGAGGTGGGAAGAGCCACCTTGACAAACTGCCGGGAGATCAGCCGAAGAGGTGGGAAGAGCAAGAAAAATGGGGCCCGGTGAGCGGCTGTTTGAGCCGGAGGACATGGGAAGGAGAGCAGCAGCACTTGGGTTGCCACCTTGACAAACTGTGACGAACTGGGACGAACCGGTTCGTGCCCATCTCTAATTGTGATCTTCTCTATCTCTAATTGTGATCTTTTCTATCTCTAATCGTGACCTTCTCTTCCTCTCGCGAAGCTACACTTAAAGAGTTTGCGAAAAGTACTTTTCCTTCTACCACAACATCTGGGATTTCAAACCGCCCCCCCCCCCCGCCCGCTCTCCAACTAATGAAAGGTTCCTAGGGGTTGCAGAGCAGAAACATTCTCCGAGAGCCCGCTTCCTTTCTTCCTTTACTTTCTCCAGCGCTCTTTGACTTTCATGTCCCATCCCATAATAAGCAAGAAAGCCCTACAGGGCACCCTTGAAAGTGCGGGTGATTAGCCTGGAATATGCTAATAATGAAAGTAATTAAACCAAAGGGGATTTTTGTGAGTGTGTTGCATGCTGTTTTATTTTTTTCCCCCCACTCCTTCCAAATTAATTGTGGTTTTAACTTCGCAGTTCAGTCCATATATACAGTAATTTCAACAAGAGTTTGGAGTCATTTCCTGTGTGCCAACAAAATTTAAAGAAGGCCAGGAGGCATCAAGAACCAGTGTGGTGTAGTGGTTACAGCGTCCAGTTGAGACGTGACAGATGGTAGAGGCAGCGATGGATCTGTCTCACCTCGATGGGTCTGTTAGGTTTCCATTCTTGTTCTGATGAAAGAAGCCCTCCTTGCTCATAATCTGGATGGCAACTGGAATTACTCTCGGACGTAGCCCGCCCGTCTCAGGTAATGGGAGGTTTGCAGTTACCCTTGAGCAAACAGGGGATGGAGCATAGCGGATGAAATATAGCTCCTATCAAAAAAGTCCCAGTGCTTAGCAACTAAGAACTTAGGAAGAACTTCCTGAATTAAGTTTCTGGTCCGTCTCAACCAGCATGATCAACTCTGTGACTCTTGAGGGTTCTTGTCGGGATTCTTCCCTAGCTTTATCTGGAGTTACCAAAAATGTAGACTTACAATCCCCTGCATGAAAAAGCCACTGAGCTCCAGTCTCTTAGCAAAAACTGTGAGGCCTGGCTCTCTTGCCGCCTGCTTCAGAGCATGACCAGCTTATGGGTTCCTCTCCAACTGAGGAAGATCAAGCGTTTACACCTCCTTTCTCGGTGCCTGCCTGAAGCACAGAGTACTAGACAGTTCGGTATATTCTGAAGTTAAAGCAACTCAAAGCTCCTTTTACCACCGCCTCCCCACCGAGGCAGCCCATGGTCGAAAGATAGACAAACCCGGTCTGGAAAAAAGAACCAGCCACGGATACGAGCAGGCTGGGATAATTGGACGTCTCGCCATGCGCTTGCAGAAGAACACGGCAGAAACGCCGTAATTTATCCTCCCCTCCCGGAAAACGGCGAGGTTACCTCCGCCCACCTACCTCTTGCCTGTGGTGATACTCCTGTGCTTGGACTGCCAGGGATGACCAGTCGCTGGCGACCAAAGTCTCACGGGAAATCCGCGGGACGGCCAGTTGTTTACTAAGCCACATCGCCTGCGGGGAGAAAGAGCGGGAGGCGTAAGGGGGTAGGGAAGGGGAATAAAAGCCGGCGGGTC